AAACCACAGCAATGACCAGCGTAGCAAATGACATTGGTACAGTAGTGGCACTTTTATCTTGGGGGTAATCAACAGCTACCTAATTGGACTTAAAGCCCACTGAATGGGAGGAAACTCATGTGTGGTACTGTAAACCTAGCCAAATACACATAGCTGGAGGTCACAGATTTTGGAGAAAACTCCAAGGCTGTCAGATCCCTAGACAAATGTAATATGGATCCTTAAATCTATAGACAAGTATCTCAATCACCACCCATCAAAAAAGCATCTTTTTCAAGAGACAGAGATAGTTACAGAGCTCCACAACTGGTCACACACAGAGATTGCCTGTAAACTGCCCAAGCCTAAGTGGCACATCTAGGATGCAACCTCTACACCTAAGGCTCACGGAACATAGAATAAGGGATGAAAAGCACAGTAATGCATCTTTCAGTTCTCATCAATGAAGCTCCCTCATGCAACAGAGGACCAGGAACACAAAAGGTCACATATGGCCAAAACAGAATAAGTCTACAGAGTGTGGGTCCTTGGACAGGTCTCCTATATTAAAATCCATCCCCAGGGCTCAGGGGTCATTGCGGAAGAGGGGGTGGAAAGAGTGTAAGAGCCAGGGAAGAGGTGCGTGACCATACAGACATGGTCCTACAGGTGCCTAGGCCCCTTCTCATACAAACCTACAGCAATGATGTCAGCATGCCCAAGAACAGTACAAACTCAAGCAGACAAAACTCAGCACAGAACTGTGGAAATGAACAGCAGGCCCCAATCTTAGTCAAAGAATTATTGGCAGCTGGCTACTGCTGGGTGAGAATGAGCTGATCTTCTTAAAGGGAAGGACTCTAGATAGACTAGATCCCAGTGGATGAACTGCACTGAGGGGCATCTGGGGACACTAACTTTACATGATGGGCCTCAACACAAATGAGAGAAGATATGAACTCCAGTGTGTGTGTGGGGGGTATGGGAGGGTGCCAAAGGGGAAGGGGGTATAAAGATTTTATGTATGAAATACACAAAAATTAAAAAAAAAAGTGCATTGTTTAAAAAAAAACCACTGTTACCACTTCTCTCCTGTTTGTAAAGAGTTTTAAAACTAAAAGTACTAAATTTGGGGAAAAGAATAGAGTGACTAATAAGAGACTATCTTGATAATATCTTAAAAAGTGAGTTCCAGCCAGGCGTGGTGGCAACATACCTTTAATCCCAGCATTCAGGAGGCAAAGGCAAGCAGATCTTTGTGAAACTGAAGCCAGCCTGGTCTACATAATGAGTTCCAGGTCAGTTGAGGTTACAGGGAGATATGATAGCCCTATAAATTCATACCTGTCTCCTATAGTGACCTAAAAATGATTTAAACCTTTCTATATCCTCAAGTAAAAGCTAAAAATATATACTCTAATAAATTTATACACTTAAACCATAGTTATTGTCAAAAACAATAAGGGGGAAGCATTAATTATTTAGTACCCCCCAAAAGTAAATTCTCCCAACAGATGAAAAATTTATTTATGATTGTTATTATGTCTCATGGTATTAAAAAAGGGTAATGAAAAGTTGAAGGGATATGGTAAAAGAGTATAGAAATGAAAGTACTTTAGTAAAAAGATTTATGAATAAAGATTAAGATGACTGGATGCTTCCAGAACAAAAAAAAATAATAAAAAATTTTAAGCAAATAATGGAAACATTTAAAAAATGATAATGGTCTAAGTAGGTCTATTAAAGATAATGTTTTGAGAGACATTAGAAAATACGTATATATGTATAAATATATGTAGCTAGAACAAATGTTTGGTTGAAAATTTGAGAGCCAGGATGGTGACACACACTTTTGGTCCCTGCAGATGGACCACAGCCTGGGATGGTCTGCATAATGAGTTTACAGTTATACAGCTGTAATGGGAAAACATTTAAAATTTTTTTTTAATTTTCAGCATTCTCCCTTTAGCCAATAAGCCTGGATAAGACTTTTAGTTACTATGACCTTCTTTATAACCAAAACTTGCCTGTTACTCTCTACAGGAATAATAGTCAATAAAAAGAGGGACTAAAAGTAAATTAAATTACTAAAAACAAACACTGTACCCCTGGTAGCCAGGTACTACAAAGATATTAAGGTATTATAATAATTACTATAACATACAAATTGTAAAAATAAATAATTTTCAGTCTACTCCTCTGGCTTGTACCACACACCCTCAGATTGAATGCAAACAGACAAAAATTGGGTTACTTGTAACTACTGACAAATGTCCTTTATGTTTCTCTATATTTTTTAAGTGCTAGTTTTGGGATTTTTTTTTTTTTTAACAAAACTCATATGTTAGGTTGTCACTACAACACACGGTGTTTTTCTTTTGCCCATGAAAAATAATTTGGCTCAAGAAGAGCTAGGTTTTTGCCTCCCTATATCAGATGGATACAGTCAAGAAAAAAAAAAATTATTCGGTGAGCATGGTTGGGATCCTCACCAACTGATTTTCCTGTCTATAGGTATATGATGTAGTCCCCTCCTTCCTTCTAAAAAACCACAAATCAAAATACGGAGAGGGGGGCTGGTTTTAAAAAAAAAAGAAACTGCTTTTGTTAGTAATAAAACATCCTTCTTAAAATTTGTAAGCTCAAAGTTCAGTCAGATCTGTATTTAAATTATATAATTATAAAGACTGGCTTAAGTATTTTTGTTCAAGTTTTATATGTTAGACAGTAATTAAAAGTACCAAAGTTTCAGTTCTAAGGAATCCGATGATGATCTCTTCTGACTTCTGCAGACAGAGGACTCATGGGTGCATTTACAGACATGAATGCAAAAGACTCACACACATTTAAAAAAAGAAAAAAACTACACGATATTTAGATAATTTACTACACAAACTCATACTAAGTGCTAGATAGATAAATGATCTTATTTTTTTAAATAAGTAGTCCATTTTTCTTTATTTGTAAAAGAATTAACAATTACAAGGTAAGATGCTTTTAAAAATCTAGCAAGAATAATTCAGCACTAATATGAATTCTCTATACTAAACTCACATATGAGACTATAGTTTCACCTTTAAGATGAATATTCACTCTGGTTGTTAGTTTGAATTATTGAAAATATTAAACTTTGTTTTCTGTTTATTGTCGAAAAGCAAATTAAGCTGTTAAAGATTTTCAACTCTTGGTAATGTGTCATATATAATAAACCAATTTCTTTAAGATGTGAGCTGTAGAAAATGAGGAAAAAAAGTACATATATGTTTAGCACTGTAGTTTCAATTTTAAAAAGTCAAAGTATAAACGTTGACATTTTTCTCCCAGGAATATTAAGGAATGCTTATCATAAGCAGAACTCTACTGCCCTCTTTTGGGTGAAGAACAGAACACAAGTGCCAGCCTTGCGTGCGATGTCCCTCCTCCAGTAAGTACAGAGGGAAGGTTCTCCCAGCTAGCAGGACACTGGCCCAACATTTGTCACAAACTTTAAATGAATAAGGCTGGGGCTGGAAAGATGGCTCAGTGGTTAAGAGCACTGGCTGCTCTTGCAGAGGTTCTAGGTTCAATTTCCAGCACCCATACGGTACCTAACAACCATCCTTAATTCCAGTTCCAGGGATCCGACACCCTCTCTGACCTCCACGTGCATTCCATGTATGTGGCGCACCTACATTCATTCAGACAAAACACACATACATGTAAATTTTTTTTAAATTCAAACTGACAAATTCTGACTTTAAATTTTTTATTTGATTATAGCTGAAAACAATTGAGCCATATAAACTCAGAACTTTTGTTCTAATTTAATTTAGTGATACTGAAAATTAAAATTTTTAAAAAGTTCCTAGTGTTGTTAGCTATACAATTAAATCCAAAAATGTTTTTAAAATAGCAGAAGTAAAATAAATTAGTTCTCTGTAATTGCTGCCTTCTGGCCACAGTGCATGTTCAGTGACCAAAACCCAAAACCCTGCTATCATTATACAATATTCAAATCTCCTCTGACTAATATTCTATTTTAAAGACTTATTTATCCTTAGAGTGGAAGGAAAGACACAACCTTTGGTTTTCTAATTTAGAACATTTTCTCCCCTCTCTCTAGATCAAGAATAAATTTAGGAAGCAGAGGTATTAAAGAGGTTCCCTTTCCACTACAAAAACATAGACTATTGGGGCTGGAGAGACAGCTAGTCATTAAGAGTACTTTACAACTGCCTATAATTCCAGGTCTAGGGAGATATGATGTCTCAGGCCTCTGTGGGAGTCTATACTCATGTGCACATACCCACTTCATAGATACATACACACATCCACATCGAAAATACTAAAAATTAAAAATATATAGACTATGAAAAGCTGGGGAAGGCTCCAGGCTAAGAGTACTTGCTATTCAAGCATGAGGACCTGAGTTCCAATTTCCAGCTCCCACAGAACTCCTGGCCTTACTGAACATGCTGGTAATTCCAAGAGCTTACTGATTGGCCAGCCTGGCCTAAAAAGCTTCAAATTCAATGGGACCCTATATCGTAGGACTAAAGCTGACAGTGAGAGCTGGATGCCTGCACCCTCTGCTGACCCCTGGCCACGGGCACGCACACACACACACACACACACACACACACACAGAGGCATATACCATACACAAACCACACAAAAATAGACCGTGAGATAGTACTACATATACTCACCATTTCAAAGAAATCCTGATGTTAAGTCTCTAAGCAACCTCTAGCAATACGTATATGCATCAATTTATGCTTTATAAGAGCAAGGACGGGGACATTTTCTTAGCATCCACCTGCAATGTCTTTTTAGGTCCTGGGTTTATTGTAACAAAGCTTTACTGTATAGCCTGGCTAGCCTGTAACTAAACATCCTGTATTAGTCTCCAGAGTGTTGGGATTACAGGTGTGCACCACCATGCCCAGGCTTGCCAACCTGCAATCTTATGAGCACTGAAATTCTTAATTATAAAACGCTTTAACAATTAAACCAATTTTCAATTAAGGAGCCAGGCAATATTGACTTTTCTTTCCAGAACTTTAATGTGTTTTAAGGGAAAACAAAATCTCATTCATTTAACCAATTATTACAAAGAGGGAAAAAGTACAATTCTTTGATTGCAAGTACACTTATAAAATAAGCACACTATTTAAGACAAACAGGAAGGACATTTTAGAAAGTTTTATAAGAGTCTAGTATAGGAAAATCAAGCTGGTACCAAAGCTCCATGCCTACTGACCAGCCTTCCTTCATAGCTCAGGAAAGTTCTATTTACTGGGGAAGAAAGTATTCAGCAACTTTACCCAGTTGTGAGCCCTGAAAGCTTGAAGTACTGGCCTGGCAAGACATGCCCACTAGAGCCCTAAATGTCATGGGAGCAACCAAACACTTTCTGATTGGACTTAAGGCTACTGCACAAGATGGAACTCAGGCCTGATACTGCTAACTGGGCCCCAAGCCTGTGACTGACTAAGTCAAAGGTCCTAGAAGAGAACCCAATACAATTACTCTGCTAAATGGGCAAAGTATTAAGCTGCCCCCTACGTTCTTGTCTTTATACCCATAGATTATTGCATCTCTCAACCTCCACCAGAGAAGCTTCTTTTTGCAATAGATGGTGATTAACAGAGACCCACAACTGGTCAAAGTGCAGAGAATAAAGGTACTCAGTACTAAATAAGACATATATTCCCCTCAAGGCTCAGGGATCACTGTAGAAATTGGGGCAGAAAGACTGAAAGGCCAGAGTTACAAGCATCTATAATGAAACGTTATTTGCTGAGCATGACAGGACCATGGCACCTGAGCTCACAGCAGTTGTGACCAAATGCACAAGACCTGCACAAGATGAAGCCAGGCAAAATTCCAGCATGGACCAGGGTGGGGTGGGGTGGGGGCCTCATAAAGTCCTACCCTGTCTGGGGAGCTATTGGTAAGGGATGACTGCTGAGGGAGGAAAAGGCAGTTTTCTTCAGGGACGTGGGCCTTGAAAGGCTGCCCACACTTCAGTAGATGGTCCTACACCCATGCCCGTACTGGCAGCACCAAGTGGATGCAGTGAGTTTTAAAGAGAGAGAGAGAGAACATATGAAGTTGGGACAGAAAGTGGTGGTGGTGGGAATAGTGATAGGGGAGAAACTGGAGAGGACAGAATAGGAGTGGATTTGATCCAAATACATTATATGTACATATGAAATTCTCAATAGAGAATCCCATCTAAAAGAAGCCAAATAAAATATGTAGAAATGATGAAAGCAGTTTAGCCAACCTATACATTTTCACCTATTGTCCCAGGTGCACTAACAACCTACTGTCCTAGCTCATAAACAAAGCTTCAAATTACTTTTTCATCCAAATTAATTGGTCATATTAGCAAAAACAGCATAAGTCTCACCTGGGCACATTTTTGAAAAAGCCTTAAACATGAAATCAAGCAAACCTGGCACTTGATATAATGAAAATGGCACATTTAGAAGGAGCTGTAATGCAGCAGGTTCTAGACTTCACGGGAACATCTGTACCTGTTCCATACCTGATCCTCACAGCACTGTGAGGGAGGAAAGACAACCATGTTCCCTGTTATTGAAGAGACAGCTAAGATGACCTGTTCTAAATCACAGTCTGATGAGTTGCAGGAATACATTATTAATGGCATTGTGGTCTAGTGCATGGTTTCCTGTTGGTAGACTTCCTTTTCTCTCCGCATTAAGATATGATTCAAGAACTAAAACAAGTACAAATTCCTTCATGTCTGGCAACACTCCCTTCCCAATGTGGTGAGAGCAAAGTCAGCTCAAGAGTTCCCCTCTTCTACATGAGTCACAGTAAAACACTGGGATACAGCTGACAGAGGAAGGGGGGAAATGATCTGAAAGATCCTGATAGGGTAAGGTTCCGCCAAAGCCTAGAATAAACTGTAACGAACTGAAAACAATGTTCGTTCTGAAAGCTAATATTCAATAGGGTAAACAGAATAGAAAGGTTGGAAACTTTCATCTTAATAGTTCAAAGTGTTTGGCACACCTCCATGTAAGTAATTATAATTCCCCTAAAATATCCTTGAGGTAGATAAGCATTAGGAATGTACTGAGTTCATGCTATAAAGAGGGAAAAAGAAAAAACAAACATCCAGGAAATACTGAGGAAGGACTTATTGCTAACACTAATTTTTAAAAAAAAAATAGTACACTTACCTGTGAAACTTTCTTTTAGTAAAGTGCTTAGATGCTGGTTAGTTTATTTTTACTTTTAAAGGTTGACATGAAGCATCTTAAAACTAAAGAACCCCAAACAACCTGGGCCTTATAGTTTAAAGGCCTCAAAATTCAGACAGTCTCTAAGTTCTTGGGCCTTCTCTACCTGGATCATGCTGTCTCCTTCTCATCTGGCCAACTTCCACTGAGTTTTTAAGTCTGAGCCCAGCTGCTGTCACCTGTGGTCTCCTTGACCTTATGGCCGTCATGGGGCCCAGTGCCCTCCTCCTGCTGCATCCTCACTGTGCTAGCTTGACTCCCTCTGGGACATAAGCTGCTCCAAAGGCAGACAAAGCTGCTTCCTGCCTGCAAGGTGCTCTGGGTGTGCCAAGTTAGTCATCAGCCCACCTGACTCAAAACCTCTCACACGGTTCATTTTATATACATTAAATGAACCAGAGGTTTCCAGTTCTTATGATAGGAACCCATTTCTAACCCGGAAAGAGTTAATCTACCAGGGAAAATAACTTGATTACAATCTCAGCGCCCTTCATGACCCCATTTTTAACATTTTTCTCATTAACAATTGCTTATGTGATATAGCTCAGTGCTAGAGCACTTGCCTAGCATGCATAGAGCCATGGGTTCAATCCCAGGACCACCAAAAGAACCTCCCAAATCCGTATGTACTTAGTATGCAATAAGAAGTCCCAAGAACCACAACAAAATACACACAAAAAAAAGTTTCTGGTAGAAAAAGTAAAAATAAACTCTGTGCTTGAGCACTTTTGAACACACTGGATCTGAGGATCTGAACTGCTATTTGAAGTACCTACAGGAAAAAGCCACTAAGTCCCCAAAGCATGGACATGGCTACTCCACGGGACATACTTCTGTACTTGTTTTGCCCCAATTTCTGCTACGTAGACTGCTCCTGTCTTACTGTCGACTTCTAATAGATGTGGCAGAACTTGATCCGCTAGCTGGATGGTGCTGATGACAGAGCAGTTGCCGATGCTTCCCGCTGGCGGGGCAGCCAACACTGTCAGCCTGCTGAGGTTCAGCTGTGCCACAACCATGTACTTCCCATCTGGAGTGAATCTAAGAAGAAAGGCATGTCAATAGTAACTGCTCTTTCAATGTTTCTGTTTTCTACAAGGCTGAATAACAGAAGGCATTTACTGCCTGAACAGGTCCTTTAAAATTTGAAGTTGTGCCTAATTCTGTTGAGGTAGAGACCTGTGATGGTGCACACAGTTAAAGATAAGCCTGCATTAAAAAACACAATCTAAAAGCCAGTGTCATAGTGTTAAACAAAATGAAACGAAGAATCAGAAGTTGGCTAGGTCAACCAGTACAGACTCAAAGTTAAGAGTCTCCTTCTCTGACTAAAAATCACCCAGTGGCTGCGGTGGGTACTGACTGAGCATACATTACTTCTGAAACTGCAACTCCACAGAACACTGGGAGTTTTAACTATTTTCTCTTTGTCTAGACTTTGAAAATCTCAGACACCAAATTTCTTTGGACACTTGTTTCCTTCCATTTTCCCTGCTTAGAATTAACAATAAATACTTCAAACTCCCAGGTGGTTCTTGAGAGGAACTAAAATGAACATTTTAAAGTGAACAGAAATGATTACCTGACTGAAGAAGGGCCCTCCTCTGTGAAACAGTTATCCCATGCTCCCAGCCACTCTCCAGTGTCTTTATCAAACACTTGGAGTCTTTTATTTCCTCGGTCAGCAACCCACACCTGAGAAACCAAACACATGTCAACGGGAAGAGGGCCGCAATACGAGAAGAAACACAAGTATTTGCTTTTATTAGTCACACACATCATCCCAGTTAGTACTGAGCAGACACAAAGAAGAAGGTATTACTAAATTCCATTTTCAGATGAAGAAGTTCAGGAAGATTAAAGGCCTTCTCTGAAAAACACTTCCAAGTGAGAGCTCTACAGCCTATGGTCATCTGTCTTGGCTCAAAACCCATAGGGCTGTCGACTACATTAAACGTGCAAGTAAATAAAATCCCTGCATCCTCCATAGTGTGCAGAAGAAAGATTAGAGACACTGACAAGGGGCGGCATTCATCCACTCTTCTAACAATCGTCATTTCCATGCAAAGGGCCTACTTGTTATCTTAAGCCAAGTAGCAAGACAAAACAAAGTAGCCTTGCTCTACAGAGGCTCAGCACAGGAAGAGGTGAGGTGTTTATTCATTCACGTTGGAGAATCACTAAGCCTGAATCTGTCATTACCAAGGTATGTTCAAAGTATGGAACCCAACACTTGAGTAAGAGGAAGCTTGGGCATGTTAGTAACACGTAAGTATAGAAGGTTTAATTCAGATTTTTTACTGGCTATAAGGAGTTACTAAGGCACTACTGGTATAAAACAGGAAGTTAGATTCATTCTCAATGACATTCCATGCACAGTACAGGTGCAGCTTACAGCACAAAAACCTCATCCCCTTCAGGTCCTATGGATTTCTTGGCTTTGTGAATTCAGTGACTATTTCTTCAGGGTGACCCTGACTTCATCTTGTCAGTGTGTATGAATTTCCAATAGAAACAACAAAAGGTTGATGCCCAAATAAGGAATGATCCTGAGGCTTTTCCTGATCTGTGATTCTTCACTAGGGATGGCCTGCTCAGGGATTTGGCCATTACTGCCTAAAATGACCAAAGAAGAAATTTTACATCTTACAATGAAATGATACTCCACTTTTTCATCTTTCTCAGTACTCAACACATTCTGATTATGGGAAATACTACTTAAGAAATAGTACACCCAGGGGCTGGAGAGACGGCTCAGCAGTTAAGAGCACTGGCTGCTTTTGAAGAGGACCCAGCTTCGATTTCCAGCACCCACATGGCAGCTAACAACTGTCTGAAACTCCAGTTCCAGGGGAATATGATGCCCTCTTCTGACCTCCTGGGACATTGCATGACACAGGTGTACTTACATACATTCAGGTGATACACTCACACACAGACACATACACACACACAAATAATAATAATAAACAAAATAAGAAATACTATATCCAGAGGTCTAGAGAAATGGCTCCATACTTAAGAGCACTGGCTGCTCTTGAAGAGGACCCAAGTTCAGTTCCCAGCATCCACATAACAGTTAACAATGTCCATAACTCCATTTCTGCCCTCCACAGACACCGTAGGACACAGGTGCACTTACATACAAGCAAGCAATACGCTCATACACATAAAATAAAAAAAAAATACATCCTTAACTCTGCAGTAAATTAACTTTCCATAAAGGATCCTGGTGGTGATTAAATGAGTCAGTTATATACAATGCTTAAAACAGCACTGCTGCTGTCAAGAACCACCAGTGTGTATGGCAGGGGCAGAGCTCAGAGGCAGATGGCTTGCCAGGCATGTGCAAAGCTGTAGGTTGTATCCCCACAGCAGAAACAAGAGAAAATCCACAAGTAGAAAACCCACTGTCTTTCATCGCTCATCAGTGTTTCACTGCTCCTCCAAATGATCGCCAGGCTGTAGGGACATTCCTCATCAGGGTGAATTCACTCAGGTCTAGACTATGCTATGCAAAGCAGACCTTTTTTGTCTTTTTTGAGCAGGATCTCCCTGTAGCTCTAACTAGCTTGGAACTCACTATGTTGACGAGACTGGCCTGGATCTCAGAGATCTGCCTGCCTCTTCCTCTGAGTGCTGGGATTAAAAGAGTTCAGCACTATGCTCCACTTTGGACTTTCTTTTTTTAAGCCCACAATAGGACTAGTTAATCAAACTCAGGATAATGTATTAAACCAGAACTCTAACTTTCTAGCTCTCAGTGTATATACCAAGTTCATCTGGTCAGTTAAACTTGCTGCAGTTGATAGGAGATTTAATGGTCAATTCTTACTGTCAACTTATGAAGTCAAAGCATACTTAGAAGGTTGTTCACTGTGCACAGAACCAGAGGTGGAAATGGCTTAAATGTCTAACAGCTTAAAGGCAAGCTGCCTGACCTAGTCACTGAGCATCAAGACATTTACTTATTTAACACATACCTATGACTACTTTGTGGGAGGCATGGAGCCTACCACCTGTTTGTGGGAGGTATGTGAGCCTACCACCTGTTATGGGTTCAGATACACAGCAGCCCTGCCCCCTCACCAAGAGGGCCTCATGGTTCTGCAAGCCCCTGAGAAAAGCACCTTGGTCTTTGAAGTCAAAAGCAGACTTTTCTCTGTAGTTTGGTCAGCACAGCAGGCTTCCCCTTTGATCTCTAAAGGAGGCAGGTTTTAACAGAGTGTCATTGCCCCCCCCCCACACCTAACCTTTAAAAAAATATATCTTCCCACCTTCTGCATCCCCTGAAGCCTCCCTCTATAAAAGATCCCAGCTCACGACCCAGGGGCAGACATTTTCCCTACCCAGAAGGGAATCTGTCCCATGTGTTCCTTTGCTAATAAACTCTGTTCCACTGGAGTTTTATCTGTGTCCTGGTGTTTCCTCCCAATCAACCGGATTCATCCATTGCCTACTTCAACTATCACTACCAATAGAGGGAGAGCCACAAATGAGCATAACACAGCATGGAAGAGACTGTACCGGAGAAGCACAGTCACCACAGGAGAACAAGTAGAGAATTTAATCCGCATTTCTCATGGAGATCTGCTTGTTGGAAGGTAAGCCCTAAGAAGCAGTTCTCTGCTTAAAGTGAGTAAAAGCAAAAGAGGTGGAAAAGAGGGAAATGAATTGAGGTCACTGGTGGAAGGATTCTGTTCCCACATAGAACTAAGGAGAACAGGAATTGGACTACATGGCTCTTTTTCAAACTTTCAGGATAAACTTCTACCATTCATTCCCCTCTTACCATCAGCACCCTGGAAATACATCAAATACTTAAGAGTTTTCCTAGTAAGAAGGCAATACTTCCTTTCAGGTCATTATATTTGGATTCATTATTTGTTCCTTTTGTCATTTAATAGCTATGGAAAATCTATTTTGCTCATTTCTAAGTACTTGGGGAACCTCTTCGGCATAAGGTCCAAATATTTTAAAAGTATGTGTGCGTGCCCAGCTCCAGAGGACTGTCCAGACATGCCTGTTATAGTTTCAATTGTCATCTTGACGCAACCCAGAATCACCTAGGAAGATTCTCAAAGACAGACTGTCTACATCAAGTTGGCCTGTAGGCATGTCTGTGGATTGTCTTGATTGCTTTAATTGATGTGGGCAGACTCAGCCCTCTGTGGGTGGCACCATTCCCAAGACAGGGGTCCTGGAATGTGTAAGACTGGGGAAATGAGCAGGCCAGCACACCTACGCATTCATGTCTCTCTGCTCTTCACAGTGAAGTGTTTGCAGGGCCTGTCTCGCTTTTGCTTTCTCCCTGAAGTTGTTTTCATTAGGTATTTTATCACAGCAACAGAAATGAAATAAAACACCTAACAGCACACACATGCTCACACCCAGACACACACACTGAGACATGCATGCACACTCTGCATTTTTACCCGGCCAACTGAGTCAAGTGTCACACTGTGAGGTATGTTGAACTTAGCAGGTCCCGTTCCATTTTCTCCACGCAGCCAAAGGATCAAGAAATCTATAAATGGTGAATATGTAGGATTACTGCAACATATAGAATATCTTATGCACCTGCATGTTATATTTTGTCATGCAAATATATGTAATTACACAGACTTCATGACGCTTTCCTGGTTTTCTGTCTATATGTCTAACTCCTACAGTCCTTCAAACAATCTATTTCTTTATCTCTGCCTGAATTTTTCATGACTTCAACATCATTGGTTAGGATTCATGTCACCCTTTCCTTAGAATCAGTTCCCTTTCCTTGCTTAAAAATTCCCTTCTAGGGGCTGGAGAGATGGATAAGCAGCTAAGAGCATTGACTGCTCTTGCAGAGGACCTACGTTCGATTCCCAGCACACATACACGGTGGCTAACAACCGTCTGTAATTCCAGTTCCAGGGGATCCGATGCCTTCTTCTGACCTCCATGGGCACTGCATGACACAGATACATTTGCATACATGCAGGCAATATACTCATACAAACAAAAGAGAAATAATAAATAAAATATATTTTAAAAACTCACTTCTTTGTTCATTTGTTCTTTGTCCAGAGAAAGAGAATCTTGCTATGTAGTCCTGGCTAGCCTGGTATTATACAGTACAGGCTGGTCTCAAACTAGGCAATCCTTCTGTCCCAGTCTCCTGAGTATAGGGATTACAGTTGTGTGCCACAACACCCAGCTGTTAAGTTTTTATAGTCTGTATCCCTCTAATGGGTTGAACTCTGTTCCTTCAAAAATACATGCCCACACCCTAACCCCTTATATCTATGAATGTGACCTTTGGATACAGAGTTTTCACAGATGAAACTGGGTTAGAGATCTTGAGACTGTCTTGGATTTAGAGTAGGCCCCAAGTCCTTATAAAACTTGTAAAAGGGAGATTTGAGACACAGAGATACAGACTGGGCCACGTGACAAAGGCAGGGCTCAGAGCTATGCTGACATACCAAGGAATGCCTGAAGAGAGAGGAGGCAAGGAAGGCTCTCCCGTGGAGCCTTTAGTGGGAGCTTCAACCCCCAGCCATTTCAGACTTCTGGATTCCAAAACTTTGACAATAAATTTCTATTGTTTAGAGTTAACCTTGTTTGTAGCATTTTTTTTTTTCCACAGCTGCCCTAGCGGATAATACACCAATATTCAAACTGTCCCCTAACTTGGTTCTTTCTTCATTTCTGATGCCTGCTTTACCCCATCCTGCCTCTCTTTGTTAAAGACTAAATTCATTACTAAGTGCTAACTACACAGCTTCCAAAGGACACAGTTCACAAGAAGCAGATTCTGATACCATTTCGTGTGCTATAAAAACTGCTTTGGAATATCTCTTACTAAAAAACCCTTCAGACTGCTGGCAAAATACTTCTAAATCCCTCAGACAAGCTTTTGAAGACATTTCATATTTCCTTTGCCACTGCTGAGAGCATTCCTTCCAGCTCCTTTCCTGCGCAGGACCACTGCAGCTCCCACACAGGCCAGCCTCCTCTGGAGCTCTGCCTACCCCAAGCGCGGTCAAGGACTGTTTCAGGACTGCTGCTCTGCTTCTCCAACTTGGTTCTGCCTTGTAGTTCCTACCTTATTTAGAAATCTCTGTCATAGGTTTTATTTGTTTTATCCATGAAGGACCTGCCTCTGTGGTTGCTACTGAGGACCCACAGCAGGGCAGTAGAGAGGTCTTGCTCTTAGCCTACAGGAAACCTAACTGGGGACTTGTGCTAGTTAATTTTTGTTAACTTGACACAAACTCACAAACTGGAGTCACTTGGGAAGAGGGAACTTCAATTTAAAAATATTCTCCATCAGACTGGCCTGTGGGGCATTTTCTTGATTGCTGATTGATGTAGGAGGGCCTAGCCTACTGTGGGCGGTGCCATCCCTGGGTGGGTGGGCCTGTGCTGTAAGAATGGTAGCAGAACACAAGCTAGGGAAATAAGCCAGTAAGCAGCATTTCTCTATCTGCTTCATTCAGCTCCTGTCTCCAGGTTTCTGCCCTGAGTTCCTGCCTTGGATTCCCTCAGTGATGGACTATGACTGGAACTGTAGGCCAAATAAACCCTTTCTTCCTCAAGCTGCTCTTGGTCAGTGTTTTATCACAACATAAAGCGAACTATGACAGAACTACAACAGATTCCAGATTCCTGATAGCCCCTTTATAAACTGGAGAGCATACTTACTTATCTCTTGACCTCTTATAAATTCTAAATTCTCCAGTTCCTTCAGAGGAAACTCCTGGCCTCTGGTGAAGAACAGGTATGCCAGCAATCCCACCATCTACTTTTCCATTTTATCCATGTGTTTAGTCCTTCACACAGACTCATATACAACATGGTCATAGCATTATGCCAAGTAGCAAGCAAATTAAACCCAATTTATAAAATATCTTTATAGGCTAGAGAGATGGCTCAGCGGTTAAGAGCACTAGCTGCTCTTGCAGAGGATCTAAGTTTGAATCCCAGCACCCACATGGTGGGTAACAACCCTCCGTAACTCCAGTTCCAGGGGATCTGACGCCCTCTTCTGATCTCCATGGGCATTGTATGACACAGGTGCACTTACATACACACATGTAATGCACTCATACACATAAAAATAAAATAATAAATATTAAGAAAATAATATCCTGGGGCTGGAGAGATGGCTCAGAGCGTAAGAACATTGGCTGTTCTTGCAGAAGAACCTGGTTCAAATCCCAGCACCTACATGACAGCTAACAACTGTCCGTAACTCCAGATCCACAGGATCTGATGGCCTCTTCTGTCCTCTGTAAGTGCACAACACGGGTGCACTTACCTACATACAGGCAATACACTCATACACATAAAAATAATAAATATAAAAAAAAATCCTTGCAATCATACAAAGTTAAAGCACATACCTTGAGACAGTTTGATCAATCTGTTATTCAATCCCCCATCTCCATCCACGATGTAGATACTCCCCGTGTCCTCTACATATAATTCTGCAGGGTTGTCAAACTGCAGGGGATTCAAACCTGTGCCTTTTTTGCCTGGAGTACCCAAGACTTGGACGATATCACCCAAGGAATTGTATTTTTTAACAGTGTGGCCATAGGGTCCTGTATAGGTAGACAAGACTGTCTCACAAGCAAAGTCACACACAACATTCTGTCTTCTAATAAACTGAAAGCAAAGCTTTCACCAGCATGAATTGGAAGTGAGAGCTGATAGTGCACATATTTAATGCTATAGCTGACAACAGACCTTCCTGAGCTATGTCCAAGCTTGTTTATGGATCAAGGTCCCAAATCAGCAGATTCTAAACACAAAAAGTTGACTCTTTACACAGAAGGCTTAGGATGCTAAGGATTTGTATAGTTTTCTTTTTTAATCTTACAGTCTTGAAAAAGCATTGCTATCAAAGAAATCCAAGAAGCAACTATAAAATAAACAACTTACACTCTAAGCCATTATTTCAATCAGTCATTTACAGATCTTAAACTTTAGTAAGTCAAAAAAATTCTCTATAATTAACAGTTTTAAAAATTAATTTTCTCTTAGTAGAAACAAATTCAAGATTGAACTTACTGACCTTTCTTTCTTAAGAGAAAAAGAATCTTTGAGTTAAAATGACCTTATAAGCTAAAGAATAAGGTAATCAGAGATATGGGCTAGAGAGATGGCTCAGCAATTAAGAGTACTGGCTGATCTTGCAGAGGACCTGGGTTCAATTCCCAGCATCCACATGACTGCTAACAACCACCCATAACTCCAGTTCTAGGGGACTCCAACACTCTCCTCTGATCTCCAAGGGCACTGCACGACATGGGTGCACTTACATACATGCAGGCAATACACTCATACACATAAAATAAAGATAAAAAAGAAAATATATTTTAAAAGGAAAGGTAAGCAGAAATATTTAAATAAGGGAAATCAAGAAGCAGTTTAGCTGGTCAAGCTGAAAGTAGAGAAGGTCACACTAACTGGTAAGTACTCAAAGGACTGACTGATACACCAATCTTACCAGACTTCAGGTGAATCAGCTTGAAATTCAAGTCTAAATGGAAAAATGTTCTTTTACAAGAGAACACAATATTACTAGAGAAAGCACACCTCAAAGTTCCTGAACAATTAGGAAAAGGGATAGAATACTTAAAACTTTTCTAATGGTGACTTCCAGCCATGTCTTTGAGGAAATCAATTCCTTTGAAAAATGGGGGAAAGTATAAAAATAGTTTCTTAGATCTGAGGGTGGGAAAATAAGGTAGAATGGAAAGAGTGAGGATGAGGATGAGGCAGAGAAGGAGGAGGAGGAGGAGGAAGAGCAGGGGAAGATCATCTGTGCTGTTTACTTCTGGGAAGTAGTAAACTTTAAAAAAAATACTTTTAAGATGACATCAACAAAATCAATTAAAGGTAAAGCATTTGACAGTGAATTCTGGGTTTTGGAAGAGTGAAGAATAGTCAAGCCTCTTTACAGTCGTTCATAAACTCTGAGAGACTCTTGAGACTTCTTTTCTAAGCTCAAGGACAATTTTATTAGAATTTAAAAGAAAAACCCTAGGGCGAACAAGAAGGAAGACAGAGAAGAGGAAGAGAGGAAAGCTATGCCGCTGGTAAGCAGCCACAAGGTGAAAGGGGGTGGGGGGATGGCTTGAAAGAAGATTGAGAAAGCCTGGTGTTTGGGGAAGCATTGGCTTCGGCAGGTACCCAAAAGAAGGAAAAAGAGATAAAGAAAATGGAAAAGCTCAGCTTTCACAGCAACACAGCTGTGGTTCCACTGCTACTCTTGAGATTTTTAAGAATTCACCTTCTAAAATAAGTGGGTTATCCACTATTCAAGGCCCAGAAATCTTTTGTATTCTGTGAACAAGTATGGCAATAATCGTATTTAAAAACAAACAAACAAACAACAAACACACCTTTAATCCCAGCACTGCAGAGGCAGGCGGATCCCTGAGTTCAAGGCCAGCCTGGTCTTCATAGTGAGTTTCAGGACAGTTAGCTGGGACTACAGGGAGACTCTGTCTCAAAAGGACCAGAAAAAAAAAAAAAACCCTTGGATTGTGCTAATTCCAAAAACTGGTATGTGAATCAGCCAGTACTGGGAAAGCAGGAGCCCTTCAAGTCAAGAACACAGCTGGGTAAATGGACACTAGAAACACTTTCTGATGGTCTCATTCCATCCTGGGGCAAGGCAGGGTGAGCTGTCTCCAGCATTGCCATTGTCTATGCCAAACCAGCAGCACAGGTACATTTCTGTCTCTGAAAAGTTCCTCTGCAGCTATAACACTCTCAAGTCTATTTTGTCAGTATTGTCTGAAAATATCTGATGGCAGGAAGGTTTCAGACTGCTTAACTCAGTGGAATTTCAAAACTGCTAACATCAGCTTCTGCAAATCTTTTCACTCTGAGCAACAAATTATGGCTTCTTATCACAACCTCTTTCAAGAGACAACTGGAGAGCGTCAAGCAGTCCATTGATTTCCCTTAAAAGATTGTCATTTTATTTGACTTCACAGAGAAGAATGATTATTTTGAGAAAAATAGCAACTGAGGGTTCAAAGAAGGTCTGGGGCTCGAACATGCCTCAGTCCACAGGTAAAACACTTGTGACTCAAGCACGAGGATCTGGTGTTCAGCCCCGGAACCCAAGTTAAAAAAAGACAGGTATGCTGGTGTGGAACTTGTAATCCTGGCACCGGGGAGGTGGAGATAGGAAGGTCTCTGGGGCTCATTAGCTAGTTGGCCTAGGCTACTTGTGAATTTCGGGCCAGTGAGAGACCCTGTATCAAAAAACAAGGTGGACAGCTCCTGAGGAAGGGCACTGAAGTACCTCAGGTGAGAGACAGACAGACAGACAGACAGACAGACACACACACACACACACACACTAGCACTGAAGTACCTCAGGTGAGAGACAGACAGACAGACAGACAGACACACACACACACACACACCATGCAAGTTCCCTTGACAATCTTAAAAGAGGATGATTACAGCCTCCTCATTTAATTTCTTCTACAGGAATGCACTATAAAGTTAGAAGCATGTGATTTTGTGAATTATTAAAGAAATTCTGATTAAAATCAGTATCGCTGATCTTAAAACATACAAGCAAGAACACAGTCAAAGATGTGCTTTCTAGCAAGGTAATTTAGTAGATGATCCCACACATACCACTTCCTACATCTGTGATCCAGACGGACTGTTCATGGGGCGTACTGGAGACAAACATACCATGTGGTGTGTCAACTGTGTAATTCCAGGCTCGTAGGAAATATCCATCCTCTGTGAACACTAATACCTTTGGGATGTTATCCCCTCTCTGAAGGCATACAAAAATAACTGCTTAGACAGAATCACTTTCAAGGAATGGTAATCTTTACTTTGTCAGAGAGAAATCAAAATTAAAGGCTGAGAAATTTAGGAATGTGGAAAAAGCCAACTTCAAAACCTAATAATATTAACATATACTAGACACAAATCCAAAATACTTGAAACCAATTCAGAATAAGTTGCCTAACATAGTACAGATGCACATGGCTACCTAAGGTAGTCAAACAGTCTTTTGTTTCCTTTCTGTTTATTTTCATTCTTTTGGTACTGCTTTGACAGAATGTTCATACATTAAAAAAATAAAATCTCCAAGAGATGGCCAGGCATAAAGCCTGCACCTGACAACCAGTGTTGGATCCCTGGAACCCGGGACTGAAGAACCGAATCCCCAAAGTTATTCTCTGACTTCCACACTCACACTCCGATCTCCCTCGCACACAAAGGCACACATAATAAATGATCGTTTACTTACTTGGGCTACGTAAACCAATCCGTTGAGAGAGTCAGCTGCAACACAGAATGTCGCTCCAGTGAAATATTCTGAATACCTGGGCCAACCCAAATCCAGCCGGTAAAGAACTTGCTCCGTTCTCCAGGAAATGTGGAAAGCAAATTTTCTTGACATCTCAAATAAAATCAAAAGACTCAGATTCAGATTACCCTACACACACACACACACACACACACACACACACACACACACACACGTGGAAAGCAAATTTTTTTGAAATATCAAATAAAATCAAAAGACTCAGATTCAGATTACCACACACACACGCACGCACGCACGCACCTGAATAACCAGAAGTTGGCTGGACTGAAATGACTCCAGATAAGGAGCCAAACGACCACAATAAAAGTCAAAATTAGTCGAGGGTGTGGTTAACGGTGAAGAAAGAAATCCCACATGCATACTTTTTAATACTGAAAGAGAAGATGAGTCGCCACCTGCTGAGCCAAGTGCACGTTTGGGGCGGTGCAGGTGGCGCGCACAGACCTCTGCGCTGCAGCCGCACCGCCACCCACACCCCACAGTCCCCTTCCGGCTCCTCACCGGAGAGCCCCAGAGCTGGGAATGCAAAAGCAGACAGGAAAGCAGCAAGACCGCGCCGGCCGCGCAGACCCAGGTTCTCGCCATGGTGACAGGAGGGGCCAGCCAGGTCGGCAAGTACCGGGGCGGCAGGCCGAGCGGGACCCCCGGGCCCACGCCGTGTCTCGGGACTCTACCCCCGTGAAGCGCAGGCTCTGGATACGGAACCGACGGGAGAACTAGATTCGCTCGAGAACTAGACTCTACGCCCAATTACGGGTGTGCTGGCGTTTCCCGGGTCCCCGCCCCCATGTCTGGTGCCCGACGTCGGACCCAGTGACCTCCCTTCCCCGCCCTGGGGTGGTCCGCGAAGCTGACTTCTCCCAGCCATCAGTATGGCGGCGCCCGCGGATATTCCTGACCCGCTTACTGCTCGTTCTTTTAAATTCAGACTCAGTGATCACAGGACACCACAAAACTCAAAAGTAAGGGGAGGTGATACTAAAGCAATGACTGCAGGCGTTTGAGAAACGCTTCAGTCACACCAGTTTCCGAGGCACTCGGGCATCCGCTATGGATGCCTATATTCCCACACTAGGACCCCCCCCGCCCCCCCGCGACTGGCTTTCAGGCAACTGCAGCCGAAACTGGCGGCGCACAATTGCGTTGACTCAGGGCGACGCTTTCTATTGAAAGTCCCCTGGAGTCGGTGGGGATTTTAGGGAGGCCCGCGCGGAGCGCCGTCTGGTGTGTGCGCTGCGTTCTCCCTTAGTCCCCCTGCACGAGGCTGCATACCCCTTCGCCCGGCTCCCGGAGCGCTCCGGTTGCCGGCCCGCTCCCGGAAGCCTTGGAAACTGGTAACAAAGAGCCTGCCGAACCGCCGGCTGCCGGAGCTGCGGGACCCAGGGGTCGGGCGGAGCGACGGGGCTGAGCTTCAGCCGGACGATGAGTCCGGGATCGCGGCGGTGAGGGCGCGGCCGGCGGCCGAGGCGCTGTGGGGGTCCCAGGCCCGCGCCTCCCACAGCTCCGCACCGGCCTCTCGGCGCGGGACTCCGGGGCCGCGGCGGCGGCGGCGCAGGACGAGTAACCGCACGGTCTTCCCCGGGGCGCCGGGCCTTCGGCGCCCGACCAATCCAGAGTGTTTGCAAAGGCAGGACCCGACTCTGCTGCGAGGTGCCGAAGCTTTGTGTGGAGAAGCTGGTGAAGTCTTTTTGTTTTTAATGAAAACTTTTTTCTAAGTTTCGGTTTGGGGCAATTTTTGCAGAGTTTGCAGTACTCTCTACCTCCTCGCATCCACTCTCCTGGAAACACTTGTGCAGTCTGCGGGGCCGACCAGGGATGAACGTTTCGTATTTGAAAGTCTAGTTGCTATAACCCACGTTGGAGTAGACGTCAAGATGGACAAAAAGTCCTTTGAAACGGTGCTGGATGAAATTCGAAAGGTAATCCCCAAAATTCTTCCCAGATACAAACCGTGGGTTAATTTCATTAAGGTGCGGCGTGTAAATTTTACGGAACTAGTCCTTACATTGCCAGAGGACTTGAACTTTTCTGTGAGGTGTAAGAGTTTGTGTCTTGATAAATTTCACGGTACAAATAGATAAGCTTCCTTGGTGCCAAACTTGAGAAATCGGTGTGATAATGTGGAAATGATTTTCAGACTGCTCAAGGTTCTGCCGGCGACTTCACAGCCCTGTGCTTTTGGTTGAGTGGCAAACACTTTTTGCATCTTTCAGTAACAGTGACTGAGCGCTCTAATACCTAGCACGTTTCTTTGTGGGCAGTTTTTGTTAGGCAATTTCAAATCCCAAGCCTGGGAGAATGCTTTTTGTTGCCTTGGCGGGACAAAATTAATGTCTTAACTTTAGGTGTAGCATTGAAGTTTAAAGTCAGATAGGAACAGGCCATCATTTACTTGAACTTATAAAGTCACTGCAGAGATCACCCCGGCCTGTAGCTTTGCTTTGCCCTTTGTGACTCTTGTTCTTTTCAAGTTGCCGTGTGTAATTGATCATATTTGATAGTGCTGAATGTTCATTTTTCATACAGACTTCTGACTTTGCAGATTCAGTTTGTCCATTTAAAATTGAAAACAAAATGCCCTCTGACCGAATTTGCCACAGTTTGTTCATGAGCTGATTGTTCAAGTATTGTATAAGAAGGTAATTTTAAGTTCAAGCAGAAGTGCAGATTTCTATTTTTGAACAGTGCAGGCATCTGTATGTATATCCTCTTCCTCCTCAGTATTGTAAAAATGTCATATAGTAATTATTAATGAGGAAACAGAAGTTCCAGAGTTGAAAGTCTTTGTTTGAGGTAACCATTTAAGCCCGTATTTCTGGTCTCCAGTCAAAGTGTGCTTGCTTGCTGGCTCTGCTGCATAATGAGGCACATCAGCACATCAACAACCTTAATCTATTAAAATGGAACAAAATAGGGACATTACTATTCTTTAGAAATTGCTCTTAGATGTCAGTTTAAATCAGGCGTCTGTTTTCTGTTTGTTACTGATAATACTGACAGACACTGCTGTGTTTTGAAACAGAAACGGAAGGGGCTGAAGAGATGGCTCAGCGGTTAAGAACGCTGGTTGTTCTTGAAGAAGACCTGGGTTTTAATCCCAGCACCCGCATGACAGCTAACAACTGTCTGTAACTCCAGTACCAGGGATCTGTCCACCTCTTCTATCCTCCGAGGGCATTGCATTACACGGGTGCACTTACCTACATGCAGGCATAACACTCATACACATAAAAATGAAAATATCTTTTTTAAAAACCAGAAACATAAGACACTAGGAAAGAAAACAGAAAGGAGGACATTGTTTAATTTTATTTTCCAAAAAGGGGGTAATAAGCGCCACCAGTCAATAAGCACTTCTTGTTGATTTTATCCTCCTGACTCCTGAGGATATGTACTGTACTGGGAGTTTTACAGGTGGCAAACCAGGTCTTCTGTATCATAGGCAGGTAACAGAAGCTGAATAAGTAACATTTGCCTGGCATGGTGGTACACGCCTTTAATCCCAGCACTCAGGAGGCAGAGGCAGGCAGATCTCTTGAGTTCAAGGCCAGCCTGGTCTACATAGTTCCAGGACAGCTGGGGCTACAGGGAGACCCTGTCTCAAAAAGACCAAAAAAAAAAAAAAAACCCAAACATTTGATACATTTGAATCTAAGAAGTCAGACATAGTGACTGGTGAAGGCTGAAGTGGGAGGGTTGCCAGCCTAGGCTACAAAGTGAGACCCTCTTTAGAATAAAAAAAGAAAAGGTGAGGCCTTTAATCCCAGCACTCAGGAGGCCAAGGTAGGTGGATCTCTGTGAGTTCAAGGCAAAAGAAAAGGCATGACAATTTGGCTGAATTGGAGAAGTTTTAAAGCTAATTACCCTTTCCAGAATTTGACATGTAATTTCACTACTGTTGAACCTCACCTTCTGACCAGTTTCATTCCTTTTGTATGAGTGTTCCTGGAGGCCCAGGATGTCTGAAAGGTAGAATTTCTCATCACCACCTTGACCTTAGTTGCTGGCACTGTGAGCAGAGCTGTGACGCCTATATCGCCCTACTGTGCTGCTTATGTATGCTAATGATTTTTTTTTTCTTCTCTAGGCTGTTTTGACGGAATATAAATTAAAAGCAATTGAATATGTTCATGGATACTTCTCTAGTGAACAGGTATTCTTCATTATTCATTCATAAAGCCTTTATTTTATACCAGTGCTTTGGGTAACATCTCTCCCCCCTGATCACATGCAGAATTGCTTTGACGCTGTTGCTGTGGCTCTTAGTTTTGGCAGAAGGCTTAAAGAACATACAGATAGGGATGGCTTGTCTACTATGTGCTTAGAACTCACTTTCTATTTCTAGGATGGTTTTTAAATACAATATCTTTAAAAAAGCAATTCAAACTGTTATTCTGGGTACAGTATCAAAAATTTATAAATGTGTAAATTTTCTAAATTTATGTGGTATTTATAGGATAACAATTGCAAAATTCACTATATGATATTAAATAAATTTAAGGAGTCACCTGGGTGTGGTGGCACACACCTTTAATTCCAGCACTCAGAGGCAGAGGCCGGTGGATCTCCGAGATCCAAGCCAGCTGGGGCTACAGGGAGACACTTTCTCAAAAAGACAAAAAAACAAACAAAAAAAAAAACTAAGGGGTAAGGAAAAAATACACTGTCTAATAAGTACTTTATTTCCTTTTAAAAAAATAATTCTAGAGTGTCTAGTGATACTAGAGATTAAGCCTAGGGTCTTGCATGTGTTGGGCACATGCTCTACTGCTGAAATACAGTCCCAGCCCTTTCTGTAACTTTATTTTGAGACAGACTCGCTAAGTTGCTGAGACTGACCTTGAACTTACTGTCCTCTTCTCTCAGCCTAGGACTAACTGATAGTACAGTCCTACACCACAGGCTCAACTTGAGATTATATGTCTTCTGTCTTTTCTTTTTAATTTTTCATTTATTTGTGTATGAGGCATATGCCTCCACACACGTAGAGGTAAGGGGGCAACTTGTGGGAGCCGTATTTCTTTACTGTATGGGTCCCAAGGGGGCAACTTGTGGGAGCCGTATTTCTTTACTGTATGGGTCCCGAGCATCAAGTTTGGTTGCTGTGGTTGCAGCTTACCCAGGCCCCGTTGCCACACGGTTGGGTTCTGGTGCTGGGCTCATCTCCTTCCAGCTGCTGAAATACATGCGATAGAAACGTTGTGCAGATGCTGCCATCGGAGCTGACTTCATTCTTTGCTTCCAGGTGGTTGACCTCCTGAGATATTTTTCCTGGGCAGAGCCTCAGCTGAAAGCCATGAAAGCTTTACAACATGTGAGTTGCTAACTTTTAATTATGTTAAAAAGTTATAGCCTTCCATTCCAAAGCATGAGTTTATATTGTATTTACTATCAAAGTGTCCTAATGGTTTGATTGAGGGCAGAATTATTCATTGAAAACAAAGCAACAGAATTTGAATTCTGTTTGTTTGTTTGTTTGTTTGTTTGTTTCTGTAGAACAGGCTGGACTCAATCTCAGAGCTCCACCTGCCTCTGCCTGGGATTGAAGGCATGCACCACCATGCAGGGAGAATTCTTGAGTTTTTTATGCATTTGTTTATGTCTTTTTACATCTTTCTTCACTCTTTTGTGTGTAGGCTTAGGAGAGAAGTCAGGCAAGTTGCATTCTTCAGACCTGTGCCACCCAAGTGAATTTCACCTGCATTAGTTAGTGGTTGTGATGCTGCAACTAAATACCTTACAGAAGAAACGTAAGGATTTATTTTAGCTCACAGTTCTGGGGTGTAGTGCATCATGGGAAAGCGATCAGGAAGGAGGAGTGTGAGGCACTTGTCACAGGACAGAGACAGATGAGTATGCTGTTCAGCTCAGTGTCCTGGTTACTTAGTCCCAGACCCCACCCATAGAGAAGTGTCACTCAGTTTCCTGGACCTTCCACTTTTGTTAACCTAATCTGTATAAACCCTTCATGGCTACTGGCATGCCTAGAGGCTAAAGTAAGCTAGATAATTCCTCACAGGCTTGCCAAAGGTTTGTCTCCAAGGTGAGTGTTGACTTTGCAGTTGACAATATAAATTATAATATCACAGATGGTGAAATTATTATATGGGCCCTGTCCATTATATGGGAGGGGGTGGTCATCACTGGCCCCTGGCCCCAATGATGCTCTGATGATGCCCTTAAACGCTCAGATGTGCATAGTCTAAGGGACTGTAGTTTTATTTTATTTCATGGTAGCTATTTAAATAGGCACATGTACCTAGTGACACTGAGTAGATGAGATACCTCAGTATAATAGGTAGGGGCATCTAGAGCCTGTGTGAATGCTGGTCTGTAGACAAAGATTTTCCTAGGAGAATCATTCATGGATAACATTAAGGGAGTTAATTCACAGTTCCCTGTCTTCCTAAACTGATCAGCTAAGAACATTTCTGAGTCTGCTGCTGTTTCTTTCCTTCTTCGTTACAGTTGTTAATTTCTACTTGAGAAAAGAAAGGATTTTCTATTCCTGTGGGTGAACATTTCTTTCCCTGCATTCTCCCAGAACAGTTAGTTTCTATGGGAAGTGTTGATAGAGTTTTGTCTTAATGTCAGAGCTGCAAACTTAGGATAGTACTTGGGCTGCCTTACCATCTCTCTACTAAGAATTAAAATACAGAGGTGAGAAGGGGTACATCCACACATTCACCTGATTGAGATGAAGCCTCACAATTAAAAAAAAAATTATATGTATGAGTATATTGCCTAAATGTGTGTAAGTGCACCATGTGCATGTAGTGCCCAAGGAGGTCAGAAGAGATGTCAGATTACCCTGGAATTGGAGTTAAGGGACAATTGCTAGCCTCCATGTGAGTGCTGAGATCCAAACCTGGGTCCTCTATAGAGTAGCCAGTGCTCTTAACTGCTGAGCCATCTCTCCAGCCCAAGCCTCATCTTTTCTAACAGTCTGAGTTGACTGTTTTCACACTGAAGTTTGACTTTTCCATGAATTAGATTTGTTGATTTACTAGAGCCAAGGTTTTTACAGTATATAAAGTTATGTAAGAAAATTGATATTTTGCAAGTATTTAAGCTTCTGGCAAAGTCTTATGGTTGCCAGTTTAAGAAAGTGTAAGGGTGTGTAGTTTTGTCATTTCTTGGGTCATCTAGTACAGAAGTGTTTGGAAACCATGGCTCCAAGTTCTAGGAGCTGCTGGGTGTTGCTCTAAGCAGTCTCCTTGCATTGACTGTGTTGTTTATCTCATAACTCTGAACTGGCAGTATGTCAAGGGTGTTCTTCAAAAGCAAAGGCATCCTAGTCACATAATCTTTTAATTTCACAGTGTATTGACGAAGCCTAAAGGAGGCTCTGCAGTAGAGGAAGCTGTGTGCTTCAACTCCTTCCCTAGACTGTGACTAGTCCAGTGGGTGGGCATTGCCCTGTTGGGCTGCTGCATGGGAACCTCACTTCTGTGGGTAGCTGTTCATAGGAGTTTACTTCTTGTTACTTCTTTTACTCTACAAATGAACACATTAGGAAATACAGATTCAGAAAGCATGTGTAGAAGTAATTACAGTTAACAGTAGTCTGAGTGTCACTCACGTGTATTCAGAATTTCTCCTGGGGTTTACATTTGCTTGTATTAGTTTCACCTAAATAATGTATAGTATGTCCTAAGATGTTCATACTAAAAACATTTAACTATAGTTCTAGAAAGGGTGATTTCTAGCATAAACATCTCATGGAATTATTTTTTGTGATAGAAAATGGTGGCTGTCCACCCAGCAGAAGTGGTCAACATCCTCAACTGCTTCACCTTCAGTAAAGACAAGCTGGTGGCTCTGGAACTCTTGGCTTCGTGAGTATTTCTTTTTCTTATGTGCTTCAAATTATGTGTATGAGTGTATTGCCTGAATGTATGTAAGTGCTCCCGTGTCCTGCAATGCCGCAGAGGTCAGAAGAGGGTATCAGATCTCCTGGAACTAGAGTTACAGCAGTTGTTACCCTCCATGTGGGTGCTGGGAACTGAGCCTGAGTCCTCTGTAAGAGCAGTCAGTGTACTTTCCTATCTAGTAAACCTCAGTTCAGTTGTGTTTATCATCATCATATGAACATGTTATCTAGATCAACCTGTTCAAAATAATCCCATGTTTTTCTCCTGTGTCACAGAATTTACTGAGATACGATCGAACGGTATCCTAAAAAAAATGTTGCTGGCCTGTGTATATCTACCAGGGTTCTCCCCCCCCCCTTTTTTTGTATTTTATTTATTATTTTTATTTTGTGTGTATGAGTGTATTGCCTGCATATATGTGCATACACCCATGTCGTGCAGTGCCGCAGAGGTCAGAAGAGGGCTTCGGATTCTCCTGGAACTGGACTTAAGGATGCTTTGTAACCACCGTGTGGGTGCTGGGAATCGAATCCGGGTCCTCTGCAAGAACAGTCAGTGCTCTTAATCACTGAGCCATCTCTCCAGCCCCCTACCAGGGCTCTTATACAGAAGCTAAATTGTGTTTCCTTGACAGAAACATTGTTGATGCACAGAATTCTCGTCCCATTGAAGATTTATTCAGGATCAACATGTCTGAGAAGAAACGGTGCAAGAGAGTCCTCGAGCAGGTAAAGTTCTCGGGACAGTGGGAAAGTGGCATGCTGCTTTTCTGGGTATCACGAATGACAAAGTACCCATCTTCTTTCTGAGTCAGCTTTGGTAAATAACTGGAAAATGGGCGTTCTCTAGACTGAAGAATGAGGTAGAGCTGGCTGAAGAAGCCAGGGCAGCGGTGACTGAAGAACAGAAGCCAGTGCCACCTTGCCACAAGGCTGTGGCTCCTGTGGCTGCCAGGGCTCCAGCTCTTTGATTTTGTGTGCTTAGGAGCAGTGGCTTTTCAGATTTGCTTTGTTATCTGGTCAGATTCATAACAGATGAGTACTGAAACAAGATTCCACTTGGTTAAGGTGGAGAAGCATTACTTGTCCACATACAGAAACCTTGACTTGGCATCTACAGTAGCAAATTCCTAGTGTTATACTCACTGTAAATTGACTATTAGAAGCTGCTTGAGGAAGATGCAGGGTGTTCTCCCAGGGCCTTGCTGCCCAGTTGTGTGTAGCCCTCACAGCCTCCTGAGTTCAGAGAAGAGGGAGCTCTGCCTTGGGCCTTGTTCCTATGGCAGAGCTGGGCTCTCGTCCCACATCAAATAGTGCTTCTTGAATAGTGTCCTTGGTTTTCTTGACTAAAGCCTTACTGGAATCATGAGTACACTCCTGAAGTTTTCTTCCTTGTGAAGTGGTCCTCATAAATGTTCTAGAACCAGTGCTCTGTGGAATAAAGTTCAGTTTTTCTAGATCATAAACTTGAAAGCTTTTAAATTCTTCCTCTTTTTTAGCCCAACAAATCTACTTTTAAGAATTTGTTCTAAAGAAATAAGTAGACATATGCAGATTTATGTATAAGGGCATTTTTGTCCAGTGTGGTTTATTTATATGGCCAAAATTATGGTGATTTTTTTTTTTTTTAGGGTTTACATATTTAGCTGGGAACTGGATTTTATATACTTAATATGATTTTATATGCTGGGAATTAATTTATAAAACAATTATAAATACAAATATAGCACCCATATAGTTTATTATGAGTATGATTATAATTTTGTATGTCTGTGATGTACATTATTAAGTGTACCTTAATGTCCCTAAAGTACAGTGTACAGCCATTGGATGTATTTGCCTTACACAGAGTCTTTCATTTATTTAATGCATTTACTGAGTACCAGTCTAGTATGTCTGAGGGTATCATTTAGAAACTTGGAGTATCGGAAAAACAGCCTAAACCCAAATCCTTTTTCTGTGTCTCATAACTGAGTAAGTAACTCTTACTTTTTCATCAGTGTAACTCTTCAGACACCCTGTGTCCTGGGTTTGTTTTGTTTTTAATTAAAGATTGTGTGTGTGTGTGTGTGTGTGTGTGTGTGTGTGTGTGCGCACACGCGTGTGCACACATGTGTATGAGTGCGGGTGCCATGGACACCAGAAGAGTGCACCCCCTGAACTGCACTCACAGGTGATCGTGAGCTGCCCTGTGTGGGTGCTGGTAACTGAACTTAGGTTTTCTATAAGAATAGTACTTCTCTTGACCCCTGAGCCCCCTGTTGTTTGTGTGTGTGGTTTTCAGCTAAGCTGTAATAATTTCAGAACAAGGCCTGTGCCCTTTTCATCTCAGTGTCCTTGCCTTCCCTTTAACATGGGCTTGGCTTTCGTAGGTCTGGACTGCTATTTCCTAGAGGTTACTTTTTGCCCAAGACTACAGATGCCATTCTAAAGGCACCTTTGTGTAAGGATCAGTTAGTTATGGCATTGATAGTATTGTAATGTAACCATTGTCGTAACTCCGTCATGGAGCTCTGACTTGTATTGCTCATGCCATCCTTCAAGGGTCTGCTGACTGATGGGGAGTGCACCAAGTGTTCTGCTGTTCCTTAATTCCTGTTTTTAGCTGAACTTCCCATTACCCATTCCAGTTACTCAACCTGATGAGTTTCATGTTTTTTAACCACTGTCTTTGATTCCAGGCTTTCAAGGGGGGCTGCAAAGCTCCTCATGCCATGATATCTTCCTGTGGAACCATTCCCGGAAATCCCTACCCCAAAGGAAAACCAAGTCGCATAAATGGAATTTTTCCTGTAAGCGTACTTTCACAACTCTCCATGAAATGCCCATAATTAGATGTGAAATGTAGCATAACTTTGTACATTTGTGATACTTAAGAGACAGTGCCAGTTTGTGATACTTCACAAAGGAAAGGAATTTCACCTCGTTGACTTAAGTTAAAGGTTCATGTACAAACTCCATTAGCATGATTATGTAACGTCTTCTAAGAAGCCATAAAAAAAGGATGAGTATGCTTTGTTTACAGATATTTTAGAGGGATTGGTTTAATTTTAATAAAAGTACATTTCTCAAATTCTCAACATTTTTAACAGTTTCATAGCTGAGTACCCGTTTGTGAAACTGCATGTTGGGCCTTCCTGAGAATCATGTTGCGTGATGAAGCCCTGAATGGAAGGCCTTAATATCACCCAGTGTTCTTCGAAGCATTTTCAAAGAATGTTACGTTTCTATTACTGTGTCATAACCCCAAAACTAATAGTAAGCACTATTATCTCAAGTAGATTTTGTGATCAGAAGATGGCACTTGGCTGAGCTCTAGTTTGGGCTCAGGGTGTATCTGAAAGTTTGGCTTGCATGCAAGAATATTCTTTCAAGGTGGCTCGCTTGCATGTTGCAGTGTTGCTTGTTGCAGGGGCCTTTATTCCTTGCTGCAAGGACTTTTTCCATATGCTGCTTGAGACTCAGGACATGGTAGCTGGCTTCCACCAGAACAAGGAGCCCAGGGAGGCAAGTGGCAGCTGCGGCGCTGTTGGGACTTGGCTTGGGAAGTCCATGCCATTATTTCTTTGAGGTTCTGTTAATGACACAGACAACCCTATTCCTTCTAGAATGGACAGGACAGTGCTAGTGCAAGGTGAGAGGTGAGGACCAGTGGGGGCCACTGGCTTCCATACCAGTATATACTCTGTAAGGACACACAGTGAGGGGGATGTGTTGGAGGCACTTAATCAACTTATTCTTATCTGTTCATTATAGCAGACTAATGACATCTCATTTGCCAGGAATTCTTTTTCATTCTTTAAGCTATATACACAGGCATTAAAAGTAGCTTTTTTTGTTGTTGTTTGGTCTTTTTGAGACAGGATCTTCCTGTCTCCCTGTAGCCCTAACTGGCCTGGAACTTGCTATGTAGACCAGGCTGGCCTCAAGCTTACAGAGATCCACCTCCCTTTGCCTCCTGAGTGCTGGGATTACAGGCATGCACCACCATGCCCGGCAAAAGTCTGTTTCTTATTGTGTGTGTGTGTGTGTGTGTGTGTGTGTGTGTGTAGGAGATACTAGTATATACTGTTCTTCCCTCTGTCATCCCTTCCGTATTGCATATTTATTTTAGAGCCTCTCTGCTGGGGCTGGGGGGCTGATGAGGGGAGGGATTTGGGCAGAGGAGGGTTAAGGGTTAAGAACCTGCCAGGATCAGACAACCAGCAGGGGCAGAATTAGATCTGAAATCCAAGTCTTTTTTTTTTTTTTTTAATTTGTTTTATGTGTATGAGTGTATTGCCTACATGTACGTCAGTGCACCTGTGTCGTGCAATGCTGCAGAGGTTAGAAGAGGGCCTCCCCTGGAACTGGAGTTAAGGATGGTTAGTAGCCGCCATGTGGGTGCTGGGAATCAAACCCAGGTCCTCTGGAAGAGCATTCAGTGCTCTTAACCACTGAGCCATCTCTCCAGCCCTGAAATCCAAGTCTTATTCATAGCAAGCTAAGTCCTTTTCTTCAGAAAAATGCAGTGCACTTTTTTGTTGTTATTAAAGTCTAATTAACTTCTTTTTCTTTTTTAAAAGGGAACCCCACTGAAAAAGGACAGTGAAGAATGCACCAGTGAAGGCAAAGGAATCGCTGCGCGGATTCTTGGACCGTCCAAACCAGTATGTTTAGAAAACAAAGACTACTCCTTTGTGTGTAGCTTTCTGCTGGTTTAAAGCATATGTTAAATATATCTGTGTTAGAAAGTTTAAGTACAGTGGAAAGTCCAGGAGAGTGGAGAGAATGGCCAGGGACATACTTGTGATTACATAGCAGGTTGGGGCCCTTGTGAGAACAAGCATTGTATAGATTTGTGTTCTTTTCTCCAGCCAGATTCAGCTGTTCGTTTTGAAACATGGTGTATGGTGTTTTATGTGGGGTTCTGATTCAGCTAAGTTAGTACTAGGAAGACAGATGTGGACCAGGGGTTGTCTTTTCAAGGGGTGATTACAGTGATTGGAAGTATGACCTGGGTAGGAGAACACTGTTGTGAGTTGAAGTGCTGAAGTTCTAGAGGCTCCCATGTGGGCAGGCCATGTAGCTTCTGCCTGTTCACATGACAGGACAGTATGGTGGCTGTTTATGAGAGCAAGCAGGAAATCCCGTCCTCCCACCACTGGGTCCCTTCTGCCCAGTGGCACCTGCCTTCTCTCTCTCTCACTCTGGGTAGCTTTGAATACTTCTGGTTCTATAAATACCATCATCTATAAAAATATATATATATATTTGTGGATCCATAGATTTCAGAAGAATAAAAATGAATTCTTAATTCATTCACTATGTGAGTTTTCAGATTGCCAAACGCTGAGGCACGCAAGTGCTTTTGTCTCCTAAAATGAGAGGGGGGGGTGGGAATCAGTAAATTCTAATGAGCTTAGGAGGATGTTGCTCTTGAGGTTCTTATGTAGTTGAGAATCCAAATCCTAAAGATTCCTTGGTTGGTTACACAGTGGGAGATGGGGAGTCTTGAGATTAACCTAGGCTGAACCGGAAAAGCATCTGCTATTTAGGATAAGGTGTGACCCTTGTTAGAGATGATTGACTAGTAACATGAAAAACAAACAGCATGTTTAGCAAGTTCTGCCTTTGGAATTTAATAAGAACCACTTTTATTAAAGCAAAGACACTTCCTGCATCGTGCTGTGTTTAGTGCCAGTATGCCGGGGCATTCTCATCCTCTTAGGCAAACTTGTCTTTTATTCTGTCAGGAGACAGCTTGCTTGGTGTTGCTCTAACTGTTGTCTTTGCCTCCTATCCAGCCTCCTTCAACGTACAATCCACACAAGCCTGTTCCTTACCCAATACCTCCGTGCCGGCCACATGCAACTATTGCACCAAGTAAGACTCTTGTTTTATTTTCACTTCTTCTTTTTGCCTTTTATTAAATTGAAAGGAAGTGCTGGTTTCTGTGCTTGGGAATCTGCAGCACGTCAGTTTTGTGAGCTTAAGCTTTGCCAGTGGCCAGCTGCAGCCATCCTGGTCTGCCATGCCGCAGCCGTCACGATGCAGCTGTCCTGGTCTCCCGTGTTGCAGATAACATAATTTAGTTTGTTTTCCTTATTTAAAACAATTGCAGATGTTTTTAATTCACTTTATTAATTGTGGACTTTGACCTTAGTAATAATGACCTTTCTTAGGTAGTTGGTGTCCAGACATGACACTGATACATTTAATTTGCAAAGGTCAAGGATACATACTTGGATTTAAACGGGGCTGTTCTTCCTACCTCGATTTTCAGTGACCTTCTGTGTGGAAGTTCCTCTAGCAGGGGTCTTTCCTGTTGTCTCACTTCTCACTTACCTCCTTGTAAAGTGCAACACTGTTGTGTAACTCTTAAAAAAAAAAAAAACTGAATGGCTACATTAGCACAGTTTTAGCTCCTAGCCAATGATACTGAATTCTTTGTTTTTCTGTATTTCTGTTTAGGTGCTTATAACAATGCAGGTCTGGTACCGTTAGCCAGTGTGATAGCTCCAGGTGTACCTCCTCCACCTCCATACACTCCAAATCCAGTAGGAACAGGTAAAGTCATGCTACTGTGGGCTGTTTAGTAAAAGAAGTAACTTACTCATCACAGATGTACACTTGGAGAGAGCAATTGATTGGTGTGATGTGTCCTAACAGGACCCAGGTTCAGAGCCTGACAGTCAGAGTATGGCTCATCAGTGTGCACTCTGGGCACTTGGCATAACCTTGAAGGACTTCTGTTGTGTGACTTTCCTGAGGAAATAGGAGAGGAATGTCAGATCACCCCCACGCAGGGAAGCAGCTAACAGACCAGGAAAGGAAAAGAAAAATTCAGTTTGGTTACTTAATGTGTTTGTGGGTGTGACTCCAGCATGGGCTTTAAAACTTCACCAGCAAAAACCCTCCCCTTAGCCTGTTTTGTGTGTCTTGTACACTTCAGCATTTCTTAGATGACATGTAGCATGGACAGGAGGCAGTGAGTGCAGTCTCAGGGTAAGGTCCTGAAGTCTTACGACCCTTATCCCCCTTTCCAAGAGGAAATGTTAACAAGCTGATTAGCATAGACCTAGTATCTGCTGGATAGATCTGTTTATCTTGTTGCCATGACTGTGGGCTGGGGTCTCCTGTAGGTCCCCTCAGCCACTCTGCTCTGTGATGACAGTGGTGATGCCAAGCCTGGAGGAAGCAACTATGCTACAACTTCCTTTTTCTGTGTCTGATACAGAATAACAAGGAAAGCAGAGCAGTGCCAGGGCATCACCAGTGCTAGTCTGGACATTTTCTCATTACTTCCCTGAAGTGAGCATTATAACAAATGGAAGCTTAGACTCTTGAAGAGTTAGGATGGAGAAGTCAGTGCTGTGACAGAGCACACCAACCCCCTAAAGAATCATGAGGTACTTTGTGCCTTGCTACAGGCTAGTGGCTAAGAAGTGCAGCTTCCCTTTATCTGGATGAGGTGTGGCAGGCTGACGGCATCCTTGGTGGCTGGGATCATCCTCAGGCATTTGCTAGACACAGCCCCACTACCTCCCCTTGTGATGATTATGATTTCGGTGGTTTAAAGGTGGGCACTGGTATCTTTATTTTTTAGTGATTTCAAGTTTGGGAAATAATAGAATCTATGCACAAAGACTCCAGAAAGACATTAGAGTATCTGTTTTAAGGCTTCCTGATCACTCCTAGATTGAAGAGGACTGAGGGACTTTCTCCCTCCAAACCTTTCTTGAGAATCCTTGGACACTGGGGAGATAGCTCTCCGGTCAGCAGTGGGGCTGTCTGGAGAGAACCAGGAATTATCACAGTGTATATGGGGGGAGGGGACAGGGTAGTAGCAAAGGATGCTATACACAAGTAATTTATTAATGGTGGTGAGAGGGAGGGAGGTGGAGTCCAGGCCACTGTCCTGAGTTCCACTGGCATCTGGCACGGTTGCCTCCTATTTGGTTTTTAATGATAGCAGGGCTCCACTTGAATGTGCTTGGGCCATGTGTGGAGATGTGGACTGTCAAATGATTCTCATACCAGTTTACACCTGGACGAGAATGAGAGGACAGGCAGATGCAGTATCTGTAGCCCTCTAGCACAGAGTCTCGTCCTATGACTTGAATTGTTTAGCTTACTGTGTAAGTTTAATTTTTATTTAGGTCAATTACTGTTTGACATTGAGTTTTGGGTCTTCCTTGGGATACTCCTTCTCCATCCCAGCAGCGTCAGGTGCCTTCTCCGCACTCTGGTGACTTAGTGGCTGCTGTGATATGTGGGGTTCTAATCATCTTGCCACCTGGTGGCAGTGGTTCTGCTTGCAGACAGCCAGTTCTCACCTGGCTTTTTCAAATCCTCTCCTGGAGGCAGTGCTGCAGGTGTGGCCAACTGTGAACAGTCCCTTTATTTTTCCCTCAGTGTTTCCTGCCATGTGTTTTTACTCATAGACTGTGCTTTTCTTTTTTGACACATTTTCTCTGATTTTATGGGGAATAATTTGATTACAGCTTGAAGTCAACTTTATTTCTTTTTATATAGAAAATGAAGACCTCTCCACGCAGTCAAAACCTACACAGAGTCAAAGTGAGTACCAGCTTTGATTGTTCTTAATGTCTGTTTTGGATTGTTGGCTCTGTTACCGGTTGAGCACAGCAAAGTTCAGTATATTCGGGATGTTTTAGGAAAGGCTCCTAGATATGGAGTCTAAGTAATACTTGCTAAGAGTGGATTAATTGTGGTATATTTTACATCTACAAAATGGACATTTTAAATACTAACTGGATTTTAAGTTAACCTTATGACATTGTATCCTATCTGTGAAACTTTCCATGAAGTCTCAGTGACATGTAGCATGTATCTCCATATTCACTTTACAGTCTGTGATACAGGAAGCCTTGTTCTCAGTATGGATGCCAAAGATGATAACTGTTTTTAACAAATGATTCTACTTTTATATTGAATTATTTCAGTCAGTATGATCAGGCATAAGTGTGGAAAAGAACAAGGGGACACAGGGAGTTGAGCATGAAGCAGGACTAAGCTGTGCCTCCAGGTGGCCGCACTTTGACTACATTCCCCAGGAAGTGGTAGTGAGGGAGGATGAGGAGCAAACCGGCCCATGGCCATGTACAAAAGCAGCCCCTAAATCTGAGTGCAGTGTTCTGGTTCCCTGTGAAGGGTGCCTAGTGGGTATGGCAGCCTGCCGTCTAAAAGATGGAGCACAGTGGCATGTAGAGCACGGGTGTCAGGACGTCTGTTCTTACCCTGGCTCTGGAACACCTGGCTTTGTGACCTTGGTCAGGCCATTTAACTTAATGGAAAGAATCTTGAAGAAACTTCGGCTTTACATTCAGTTTATAAATCAAGTGTCCTAGTCCCCCTGGCAGGAGTAACATTCTTTGATTTCCTGTGCTATGTTAGGTGAGCATGTGAAGAACTTTTTCTTTTTCTCTCCCTCCGCTCCCTTTAAAACTATAGAAACAGTAATAAAGACAGACTACTACTGTAGTGGTAACAACATAGTTCTTCATCAATTAATAACCACCTGACATTATTTGGTCTGTATGTTTGCGGTATTAGAGGATTGAGCCCAGGGCTTCATGTATACCATGTAAGTGTTACATAACTGTATGATCTTTAAACAGCTTCCTTATCCACAACAAGCCTCAGCTTACCCATCTAAAAAATGGGAGTGTTGGTATCAAGATATATGAGGACAGATAGAATGTGGGACACAATTTAGCATGGGGTATGACAGAGCATGTTGGGTGGTTAATAGCCAAATAGATGACAGGAAAGTATGACTTACAGTGGCATGTAATGCTGATTAAGACCCTGTCTTAATTTTATTTCATAGCTTACTGAAGGCACCATGCTTAATAGCACATAGCTTTTGCTTTATTGTATAAAAAGATTTCCAATAGCAATTGCCAGGAAAAACACTCTAGAATAGCACAGTTTTATCTTGACTTTTGTCATTAAGTACATAGATCTTCAGCATATCAGTAAATAAGATACTGAATTCTCAGGTGTTCCCAACCACAGAACCATTTTCACAGGACTCTAATGATAGTCTTGTTTTCATGAGATTGAAGTCAAACACCCAAATCAACAATGTGGTATAAACTGCTCACCTTTTGAGTTTGCAGTGTGTATGTTATTATTTGTTAATTTCCTTATATTTCATTGGTAAAACAACTGTAAAGTTTATTTAAGCTGACCCTGTGACCTTTACTTTGTACAAGTAAATTATGTGTATTTGCTTACTTCTAGATTTTTCCTTGGGTGACTTCCCCACTCGAGATAAAAACCCAGGGCATTACTATACATTGACCATGTCAGCTTCCTCATATCAAGAGTCTTATTTATACATAGATCTGAAAATGTCATCACTACAAAAGGAACATTCTGTGTTTACAGCTGAAATAGAATTAATGTAGACAGTGCTAGTCACGATGATGTTGCCTATGGAAGTCATGCTTCTCACCAGACACTGACAGGGCTGTCAGAAACCTCTGAGAGGAGGAGCCCAAGTCATCCCAGATTATCCCCCAAACACTTCTATTAATTGTAGCGCTCATCAGAATAAGACTGTGTAACAAACTCAAAATACTGAAAATCAGTTTTTGGATGATTTGGGAACTATCCCGTAAGGTAACCATGAATGTACCTTATGTACACTTGTGTACGCAGAGGCCATGCCTTGTGCTGTTAAAACTCAAGGTGAACTGGAAGTGGTGATGCAGACCTTTAATCCCAGCGCTCCCACAGAGCCAGGCAGATCTCTGAGAGCAAGGCCAGCCCGGTCTACACAGCGAGCTCCAGATCAGCTAGGGCAAAGCATATGCTTTTAATGGGCTCCCAGAACAAGCCAGGTGAAGTTTGGGGGCTGATGTAGCTGTAAGCAAAAGCAGGCTGTGGGGGCCACATAGTTAATAATGTGGATAATAACTTCAGTGCACATAGTACTAGAGAGATGTGATCATGAGGCCAGGGTGAGCATGCCCCTGAGCTGGGAATGATTTTCCAGAAGCTCCTGAGAAGGGGCTGATGTGTGATCATTGCTCTTGATGAGTGGTTTCAAGGGGTCAGTGCAGCAGTGCTATCTGCTACAGTCAGTACATTCTTGGATTGTAGAATAGTGGGAATTATGAAAGGAACCTTTTTGGTTTTAGTGCTCCTCCAGGTTTCCTCGTGGTCTGGTGGGCTCATAATAAGCAGGGTGTGGACTTAATCAGGTTTTAACAGAGGCTCCAAACCAAAGATACGATTATGGACGCCAGCAGTGTAGAGCCATTTACGCCTATCATTGGTTTTCTTTGGTATTTGTGAAATAGAACAAAAATTAGGTTTCTACTAGTTCAGATTGCACGGTTCAACGCATGAGGGTAAATTCTGGCCTCTTCTCTCCCACAGCATTTTCCACCCCAGCAAATCAACTCTTTTCTCCTCATGGTTCTAATCCTTCAACACCTGCTGTAACTCCTGCCCCTGCTGCATCCCCAGTCAAGGCAGTAAACCATTCATCAGCATCAGCTGCTGCCACCGGCTCTGGAATGAGTGCACCCAACACTGCCCTTCCCGTGTTCCCAGGGCAGGTGTCCTCGACTCTCCCTACGCCTCAGCCATCCACAGCAAACCCAACAGTGATCCGGACCCTCCCAGTGCCCCCTGTACCTGTTACTTCTGTTCACTGCACAACAGCTACACCTGTCCCTTCCATTTTTTCTGGCCTAGTGCTACAGCCAGGGCCTTCTGCCACTCCTACGCCATCCCCCCAGGCCCCCTCCACTCCCAGGGCCACTCTCCCTTCCAGTGAAACATTTGCTGCTTCTGCCCCATTCACTAGCCACTCCACCAGCTCTATGGCTGCTGCTGCCAACAACCCAAGTTCTGCTCCCTTGTCATCCATCTTTGCAGGCCTGCCTTTGCCCTTCTCAGCTGCATCCCATCGTGTGGCCACCCCTACCCCCTCTGTCATTGCTAGTGCTGCAAGTGCACATGGTGTGAACAGTCCTCTTCTGTCTGCCTTAAAAGGCTTTCTCACATCAAATGATACCCATTTGGTCAATTCCACTGCTTTGTCGTCTCCGGTCACAAGTGGGCTGGCTTCATTGTCCTCTCTTAGCAATCAGACCTCAGATTCTCCTGCCTCAGCCCCTAGCAAGGGCTATGCCCCGCTGCCCGTTCCTGCGGCGCAAGGATCTTCCACCCCAGGGCTGGCCATATTCCCCGGCCTGCAGTCTTCAGTGGCCAGCACCACCCCTGCAGCCACCCTGCCTGCCCAGGCCCCGTTAGTTACACCTGCGACTGCGGCTGCAGTGCCGGTTAGTGGTGGCCCCTCAGCCGTGCTGTTGCAGGGACCCCACGCAGGTACCATCCCATCTGCCCCTGCCACAACCACTGTGCCCATCATGATCAAAACGGAGCCCACGAGCCCTACCCCCTCCGCCTTCAAAGGCCCATCTCACTCCGGAAATCCGGCTCATGGCACTTTAGGGCTGTCGGGCTCGCTGGGTCGTGCATACCCCCCGAGCTCGGTGCCCATCAGTTTATCCACTTGCCTTAACCCTGCGCTGTCGGGGCTCTCCAGCCTGAGTGCCCCGCTAGCCAGCTCTAACCCCCTCTCCTCCATGTCCCTCCCACCGCATGCCTCCCCCACTCCCATTGGCCCAGTGTTTTCCGCTCTGCCCCCCTTCACTTCTCTGACCAACAGTTTTCCCCTCCCTGGCAGCCCGTCCCTTAATCCCTCCGTGTCCCTCCCCGGGCAGGGGCCCACCACGACGGTCGCGGTGCACCCCAGCTCCACCGCAGCTGCACGCTCAGGGCTGGCGGCCTCGGTCGCCTCGGCAGCGCCCTTCCCCCTCAACCTGTCCACTGCTGTGCCCTCGCTGTTCTCCTCCAACCCCTCCTACCCCGGCTTCTCGGTGGCCAATGCCCCAACCGTTGCCCCCGCGCTGCCCTCCTTCCCAGGGCTGCAGGCGCCCTCCACGGTGGCCGTCACCCCGCTGCCGGTCGCTGCCACGGCCCCGTCACCGGCTCCTGTCCTCCCCGGATTTGCTTCAGCCTTTAGTTCCAATTTCAACTCCGCCCTTGTCGCACAAGCCGGGTATGTGACTTGCATGCAGAGGATCAAATCACTCCATCTAGCTTCTATAGTTCAGTCTTGTATTACAGTTGAATGAAATGAATTATCTGGTAGTGCTAAATTATGGGGCAGGGGCAGAATTCCAGTGCAGAGTGCTCCATGGCTCCTCAACCATGTTAAATACACAAAATATAATGCCTGATAGCAAAATTTCAGGATAAGCATTTAACTATTTGACTTGCTTAGAAGATGACCAAAAGTATATGTAATGTTGGATTTGGAGTGATCCACTTTACAGTAGTAAGTTTTACTGCAGTGAGTGGCCCATTTATGGTTCCTTCCCATAGAAGAATAAGCTCTGATTTGTTTTTCCATCTTAAAGATGCCACCTGACAAATGCAAAAATAGCTTTTCTGCTTTCTGTGGTGTCTGCGGTTTGACCTGTTTTTCTGTTGGTTATTTCAGTTTATCATCTGGACTTCAAGCTGCAGGCAGTTCTGTTTTTCCAGGTCTTCTGTCCCTCCCTGGTATCCCCGGGTTTTCCCAGAATCCTTCCCAGTCATCCTTGCAAGAATTACAGCATAGTGCAGCAGCACAGTCGGCCCTGTTACAACAGGTAAGCCTAAATGTCTGGAGTACAGTGGTAAGGGGAAAGCTAACCAGTACTTTGAAACATTTGGATAGCCTGATGTTGGCCAACATGGCTCTTACCAGAACGTTGGGAGACTGGTTGGCTCTCCCAAAATTCATACATCATGCTTGTCTTCTTTTAAAAGACTAACAAGGATAAGAGAGCCATATGTGTGAGTTGTTTTTCCCATATATAGATTTTTTTTAAATCTGGAGACTTAATAAAATGGAATCTGTATTCAAGACAGTTAAGTTTTAAGTTTATCATCTACTTATACTATAATGGACATTTAAGTAAATTTCTCTCTCTGTCTCCATCTCCATGCTTTTTAAGAATGTTAAGTATCTTTGGTCTTTCCTTTCCACTGTACCTAATGCATAGACGTGAGAGTAAGTCCACGTTTGAACTCTGATCTGCTAAACTGCATGTTCTCTCTCCCCCCCCTCCAGGTCCATTCAGCGTCAGGTCTGGAGAACTACCCAGCTCAGCCAGATGGGTTTCCTAGCTACCCTTCCACACCAGGAACCCCATTTTCTTTACAGCCAGGCCTATCCCAAAGTGGATGGCAGTGAATTTAACTTCTTTTCCCTTGGGAGCAACATGAGATTTGCCTGAGAACTGCAGTGAACAATCTGACAAGTGAAATTGGCCAATAGTCTGAAAATGAGAATACGCTTAGGAAAAATGGGATGAGAGTCTGAAATTCTAATTGCATTTCCCGCTCCTGTATGTAAATACACTGACAATAAATTGTATGAAGAATAGTATTTAAAAAGTATTTGGGGACTTTTCACCTCCCATCCTATAAAGTTTTGAATTATGTGTGTGATCTACATAGACTATTGAAGAGGAGACAGAATTCTTTATGCCGAATACAGCCTTAAATCTGCTTGTATAGCATCCACAGACAGAGTGATAGTTGTGCCTCAGACGACGGGTTGCACGTGGCCCTGGGGGAGTTGCTACTCTTCATATGCATGAGTGGTTCCGGTTAGCATCAGCTGGGACATGGTACTCCATATGTATCCACAGAAGGGAACTTGAGACCCACTGTTATTTTTAATCTGTTAATAATCACATACTGCTGAATTTAACTTGATATGTTTCAGGTAAGTGAAAATGGTGCTTAATGTAGTCTTTAGAATGACTTTCAGGTGTTTTCAACTAAAAATATATATCCAGAACTACTTTCTTACAGAAATACAAGTAAGGAAGGCTTATGATAATTTTTGCCTTCAAAACGTTTTTCATAATCTGAGTAGTGTCCACATGGATGAGGAGCAGCAGACTGACTCCTGGGCCTCACTATTACTCACTGTACTCCGGAAGCTCTTGGTGAATGTTTACAATCATGGAGTATATTTCTCCTTAAAGCCAGACACTTATCTGAAATGATTTTGCGGCAACAAATAGAGGAGACTTGCTCTGTTAGTATATATGCAGTATGCGCTCTACGGACCTGTGATAACAAAACATGACCAAATGTCATTAGGGATAATAACTGCCATTGGGGTTGGGGGAGTAGGAAGAATGTGATCTGTGGGGTCTACTGTAGTGCAGTTCAGCATTGAGAAGTTTACTTTTATAAAGATGGTGTCTGGAAAATGTTGCAGATGTATTTTCCTTCAACATGGGGAACAAACTTTTTAAGCATATTAAATATTCCTGTATGGTTAGTTTTTAACAATTTTTTAAAATAAACTTTATGCATATGACAAACATTTTAGAAGTGTTTTATTAAATGCTACATAGATTGTATAGTTTTTTTTCTAGAGCTAATATATTGATTTTTTTGTCTGAATTTAGTTGAAACTCCATTTAGACTACTGATTTCCCAGTCCCTTAAATTAAATCTTTTGCAAAAGTTACATGATAACCAGCACTTGAAGTGGACTGATGCATACCTTTTCAAGTCTATATTCATAAAACATTTAAGATTATATTAATCACCAGGTGTAGTGGTGACCACCACCTTTAATCCCAGCATTCCTTGAGACAGAGGCAGGTGGATCTCTGTGGGTTCAAGGCCAGCCTGTTCTACATAGCAAGTTCCAGGCCAGCTGGGGCTACAGGGAGACCCTGTCTCAGAAAGACCAAAAAAATTTTTTAAAGATTGTATTAATCATACCTGTTAACCATTCAGATGATGGTGGTTGAGTGAATAGTCTGTAGAGGTTGGTGCTCCTACAAGGTATACTTCTGCTGTCCTGCAGTCCCTTGAGCAGAAGAGCATCTGGTTCATCTTTTCAGTGTGTTCCTGACATGTTGCACTCATTGGGCCTGCCAAGGTTTACATGACAGTGAAGATAATGTTTTGGAACACTTGTACTAATCACTGGTTGTATGTGATTAACAACAACAGCTAGTTAACCTGCTTCACTGGCAAGCCAACATGAGAGGCAGGGAAAGAGTAGGGTAAATTTGAAGTATTCATAGTGGGCTTCATGTAGTACCAACTGCTAGAATGCTTGGAGCAGGTTGAGGAGAAGCGACCCTTAGTGCCTTTGAGGATACAGGAAGACTGCTACTTGTTATTAAAGTCTTGAAAGATGACTAAAAGCACCCTTGGGCTGAAAAACGAGAAAACTGCAAAATATAACTGGGTGGAAAGTAATAAGTAGTTTGAATAAAACTTAGAAATAAAACATGTGACCACAGAAGACTGTTAGACGTCCAGCCAGCATGGTGGCACTTGCTTGTAATCCCAGCACTTGGGGGTCTGAGGCAGGAGAATATCTTTCCATAGCAAGACCCTGTCTCAAAAATAAAACAAAAAAGACCTTGTGAACCATGCTAAGAAGTTGGAACTTTGTTCTGTGATCCACACTGGGAATATTTTAGTCACTTAGACTACAGTGTGAAGATAGAGATAATACACTGAATGGTTATTGTGCAAATCCAAAGTAAGTACTGTAAAACTGACATTGAAGAGGACTAGAAATGTTTCCATTCTCTACATAAAAGCCTTATAACACATAGAATTTGCAAAAACAATTCACATAATTGAGTAAACGTAAATTTTAAACCTCAGTACTTGATTTGCCACGAGTTTATTTAAAATATAGTTGGTGTCAGAGTTTTAGAAAAGATTTTACTCTAATTTGTATTTAGAGAGACTTATTTTAAAAGTGATGTTGTATTGATAGGTAGTATCTCAGTGGTTATTTAAAAGATTAAATCATGACCAATATTAGCAAGGAAGTTTGGAGGAGTAATCACTTAACATGTGCCCAGCCCAGTGTTCTTGTACTCAGAGGAGGCACTCTGATACTTCTTTTCTTTTTGAGACAGGGTCTCCCTGTAGCCCCCAGCTGGCCTGGAACTCACTGTGTAGACCAGGCTGACCTTGAACCCACAGAGATCTGCCTGCCTCTGCCTCTTGAGTGCTGGTGGGATTAAGGTGTGCACCACCACAACTGGCCTGTGAGACTTTGTGGTTGGAGCTAAAAGTTAATGGTATTTATAACTCCTAATTGTTAAGAAAGGGCATGCAAAAAATAAAAAGGGGCAGTGGACATGGTGAGCACACAGTAAGTTGTTATCTGCTTCCCAAGCAGTCACTGTCCTTGTACAAGAGACGGATGCAACAGTGGTGATGGCAGCTGATTACTGCTAGGTGAAGAAGAATTTAAGGGAGTGACTAATAGACTGAAGACTCTAGTAGATGAACTTGCACCAAGGGCTATCTGGGTACAAATGCTTGGCCAGATAGGACTTAACATATATGACAGAATGCATGAAATCCTGTGGGGGGTGTGGATGGGGTCTAAATTTGATTAAGATCTATTATATGAGATGCACAAAAACTCAAAATTATTAAAAAAAAAAAAAAAAGAAGGAAGCCTGAGTTTGCATGGGACTTTTGTATGCTGACACCATTGTCATAAAAGGATTTGAGCAAGGTCCCAGGAGCTTGTAGGACCCTGTTTCCATATGGTCATGTACCTCCTCCCTGGCTCTTAGACTCTTTCCACCCCCTCTTCCACAATGGTCCCTGAGCCCTGGGTGGGTGAAGTTTAATATAGGAGTCCTGCCCAAGGACCAGCAATCTGCAGACTTAATCTCTGTTTTGGCCATTTGTGACCTTTTGTGTTCCTGTCCCTCTGTTGAATGAGAGATCATTAATGAGAATTGAGAGATTCGTTAGTGTCGTTCTGTTTCATGTGCCTTAGGTGTAGAGGTTGCATTGTAGAACCCAGCATAGAACTGGGGAAATGAACAGCAGACCCTAATCTTAGCTGAGAAGACATTGGCAGCTGATTACTGCTGGGTGAGGAAGAGCTGATCTTCCTAAAACAAGAGACTCTAGATAGGCTGACTAGACCTCAATGTATGGACTTGCACAGGGAATGTCTGGGGACCCTAACGACACATTGGGCCTTAATACGGATGGCAGCATATATGGGTGGGGGCTGTAGGAAGGTGCCGATGGGGACAGGGGTATAAAGATTAAGATTGAGATATTCCGTATAAAATACACAAAAATTCATAAAAACTAATTTAAAGAATAAAAAATTATGTTTTGAAAAAGAAGGAGGCAGTGGCACTGAAGTGCTCCAGCTGATTCTCTTGAACTCTGAAGAATGGGTTATTTCAAGGGCATGCAAATCCTACTAAGAACAGAAAAACCCCATTAGATACCAGCTTAACCATAAGGACCTGGAGGGTAGTATGGCATTAAAAGTCAGCTGTGCTCAGGAAAGAGAAATCAGATTATTAGCAATGCAAAGCATTAAGGAAGATACTATAACCAAGTTGGGTTTATGTCGGGAGTGTGAAAAACAATAGGAAATCAAAGTGTAATCCATGTTAGTAAATGAAATAAAAGTTAATGTAAAGAATTTAATAAAATTTGCCACAATGATTTTTAAAACAACATGGCAAGGGGCTGGAGAGATGGCTCAGCAGTTAAGAACACTAGCTGTTCTTCCAGAAGGCCCCGGGTTTGAATCCTAGAACCCACATGGCAGCTAACAACCATCCATAACTCCAGTTCCAAAGGATCCAACTCTGACTTTTGTCCCAGAGGGCACTGCACGACATGGGTGCATTTACACCACGTAGGAATAACATTAATACACATAAATAAATAAAACGTAGCAAACTGCACAGGAGATTATCAGCTCAAAGAGGTCTAAAAGTACAGCATACATTTTATGTGTATATGTGGAGGGCAAAAATCAGTATGAGGTGTCTCCTGAGTTGCTTTCTGCCTTATATTTTGAGACAGAGTGTCTGGCTCAAATTGGAGCTCACTGATTGACTAGACTGGCTGGGCAATGCGCTTCAGGGGTCTGCCTCTCTACTTCCCCAAGCCCTGAGGTTACACCTCACCAAATACTGCATGTGGCTGGTGGGGCTCTGAATGCAATAGCACTCTACTCAGCCATTTCTCCAGCCCCCAGCACACATTTTTTTTAAAAAAATTATTTGCATTTTATGTGTATTAGTGTATTGCCTGCATGTATGTAAGTGCACCCATGTCACGCTGTCCCCAGTCAGAAGAGGGCATCAGGTCTCCTGGAACTGGAGTTACAGATGGTTGTTAGCCGCCATATGGGTGCTGGGAACCAAACCCAGGTCCTCTGTAAGAGCAGCCAGTGCTCTTAACTTCCTAGCCATCTCTCCAACCCCAGCACACATTATTCTTAATCCTGAAATGTTAGAAATATCCCCACAAAATCAGATCAGTTAAGGAAGGTGTAATACAGCATTGTATTAGAGTAGATGTCTTAGCTATAGTTATGAAACCAAGTATAAGGAATGGAAAGGAAGACAGGAAGATTTTTAATACAGATGATAAATTATTAGAATTAATAAACTTTAGTGAAACAGGTAATAATACATCCAGAGATCTTTTTTTGTTTTGTTTTGTCTTTTTGAAATGGGGTCTCTCTGTAACCCCAGCTGGCCTGGAACTCACGAAGATCTGCCTGCCTCTACCTCCCAAGTGCTAGGATTAAAGGAGATACTTAGCTTATCTTTAAGGTCAGTAAGACCTTACAAATATTTTTTTAAGCAAGATATACAGTAAGCACTAAATATTTAAAGCCTCATATATGATATAAACGTTTTTAAAAAATGAGAGGACACCTGGGAAAATGTATTTGCCATTCATGTAACTGTCAATTATCAAGTATATAAGTGTATATAAGG